TAGAAAATCCAGTTAAAATTATAGCAAATTAGTGGAGGAATTTCACAAAAGAAATATATGGTTAACGCGGCGGTTAAACATCGTAAAATTAAAAAAATAAATCAATAATATATTCTAACATAATTTGTTTCGGTATAGAAGCGAGCCGCGCCTCATAAGCTTCCAGAAAGAGGGCTCGGTGGGTCTGCGGCTGTGCGGTGGCAACCGTTCGGGTGTGTTCGTGTCCGGGGTGCAACCCACCAGCCCTGCAGCGCTGCAGGGTCTGCAACCAGCTGATAAAATACTCAAGGTAATAAAGCGCTCTTAAAGAGAATAGGAACAATTGTGCGTTCCAAATTAGACGGTTGTAGAAGAGCTTCAGTAATTTTTAGTTCACTAATTGTGACTGAAAAGTGGCTGCAACAACGCTTCCAAATATTGTATGAAAATTATAACAGGCGCTTCTATAAGCATTTAATTTAAAGGCACCCTTAATGTAAATTTTAAACTTTTATTTATACAAAGAATACAGTCGACAATCTACCCAAAGAACTTTACCGTCATCGACAGTATCAATTACCTGTACTCTAACGTGAATTTTGTCGATTTTGCGATGCCAAATTATGCTAAGACTAAAACTAAGAAAATAATTTGTACTAAAAATAAGATAGTTTCCTTTTTATAGGTTCAGGTGAAAAGTTGCAAATTTTAAGTTACTGTAGTGTTAATTGCTGGTGTCGAAATGATGTGTTAATTACCTATTTGTTTTTTTAACAACACCGTACTATAAATTTGCGCAATAGAGCACAATAACACGGTATTCCTCATGCTCTACTTATTTAGAGCACTTAATTGGAGCATAAGGAAAGAACATCATGTAAGCGTATTAGATTATTGATTGCATTGAATAAGGCAGTCTAATATTACGGTAGCAAAACGTAATTGGCCATAATTGCCATAATTAGCAAGATTAGCTCACGAATTTGCAAATGCAGTATACTGTGTACTAAATACCTAAAGTTTTTAAAAGGATGTAAATCGACAGCTTCAGGGGTCTTCAACTTGTACGATAAAACTTTTATATAAAAATAAAACCGACCTCAAAACTTCGTGGAATTAAATCTATTTGCCACGGAAAGTGCGCGCAACCAGATTCATCCCCTAGTTTGCCACCCTAAGAGTTGGAATATTTACTGCGCTATCATTGCTTTTTTAGTTATAACACACATCTAGTGATATTTATATAGCATTTTGTTAGTAAAGTAATGATACACGTGTTTTGGTAGCTCACGTTGTTCCACAGCCGAGGAAAGGCTTCCCCTAATCCATCCGTCTCCGGCTAAAAGCGTTTAGATCATCTTATTACCTTTTTCGGGGTAAAACGCTTTTAATTACATCCATTGTACGTTTGGACAATTATTATCTATCGACTGTGAACTGGCAATCGGTACTATCTCAATTTTTACAACTTTACGGGACGAACAAAAAAATTGTTTGCGTCATTTATATAGCATCTGGTTTATTAAATAAAAATACGTAGTGTGCATACATACATGTGCAATAGAAACACTTTCAAACTACGTATTTTTATTTAATAGACCAGACGATATACATATAAATGACGCAAGCAATTTTTTTCTTCGTCCTGTAAAGTTGTAAAAATTGAGATAGTACCGGTTGCCAGTTCACAGTCGCTATGTCACAAAACAAAAAGAAATAAATAAGTTAAAAAAAAGAAGGTTCTCATTACTATCAAACTGTTAAAATTTTCAACAGCTTTCCTGCCATGGAAATAAATAAGTCTATAAATCATTGACTTACAATAGTCAATGCTATAAATAAATGAAAATTGAAGATGTACTTTTTTATAATACCAAGTGACGGGATAAACAAGTCATGCGCCTGGTGTTAAGCGACACGCCTGTCCATAGCAGTTGTAGTACCAGTCAGAGCTTTAAATTGCAAAAATCTAGGGACACAGCCATTAGGCTTGTCACACTAAGATATAAGTTGACAAGTCTCATGCGCCTGTAATTTCACCAGCACCCTTACCCTTCAAAACCGGAACACAGTAATGCTGACATTACATGACAGTACTGCTTGGCGGCAGAAATAGGTAAGGTGGCAGTACTTCCCTGCACTAACTCATAGAACAAGAACAAGAAGCTCTACTTCTACTATGTTTAGTGAAGTAAATTGAATGGCAGTATAGTACAAGGTTTATGTCAGGACATGTAATAACTATAACGATGTAACTATGTATTTGTCTTACTTATCATTTCTTATCATTGCTGTTAAATAAGCATTCTAGTACTACTTCTGACATACTTTAAGAAGGATGCAACCAGGCGCACGACTTGTTCGTCCCGTATTATACTAAGTGTACTATAAAAAGAAACACGCTTCCGTACTGCCAATCCCTTCCCACCTAAATTAACTTTGATTTCAGGTAAACGATATGGAGATGAAGGGTGTGACCCGTGAAGAGGCAGTGCTGTTTCTGCTGAGCCTGCAAGAACGCATAGATCTCATTGTGCAACATTCGCCGGACGAGTACAATGCTGTCGCCAGCGGACAAATGCGTAAGTTCCACTGTGCATAGATGTAGGTCCTTCCGGAAGGCTGGTTCCAGACTTGGTAGGATTTTGATAATACACATGTCTCTACTAGAAAGAGAGTGACGATATTTTTTTTACAAAAATAGTTCATACATAAAAAACAGCATTAGTATTGTGTTTATATCATATATTACACTAATTGGTGCCCGCGACTACGTCTGCGTAGATTAAGTAGTTTGAGTAGCCTACTGTACTATACTAATTTTCATAGTTTTATTGATTCTCCATACAAACTCGTCAATTTCACCTTTTAGATTTATTTTTGTGATTAAAAGTAGCCTATGTCCTTCTCTTAGGACACATCTATCTCTGTACCAAAATTCATCAATATTGATTCAGCTGTTTAGGCGTGAATACGTACTAACAGACAAAGTTAATTTCGCAATTATAATATTAATATAGGTAGTTTGGATAGATCCGAAAATAAACCTAAATATATAAAATAAGGTTTTTTGAATTTATTTGTGAGTTATTATTTATAATGATAATAATTTTAATTTACGACTTTGTTAATTAATCAAAAACGAAAGCGAGTTTTCTGAAATGTTATAGCCTACAAAGGCGGTGCGGCAGCCATCGCTGCCGTCCACCAACTAAAAGGTGGCTAAGTGAGTGAATGGTCAAATAACCGTTTTAAATTGCAAAAATAGAGCACAAAATTCACTTTTAAAAACAGTTAAAATTAGTTAACATGTACGACTTATCGGAACTTGCCCTAACGATATATAGCTCAAATATCATTAAATAATTTCAATATTCTAAAAGTGTGTTATGGTTTTAATGATATCTCAAAAAAATATTTTGTCAGCCGCATATTAGTTAGCAGACGGCAGATCGTGTCATGTTGCACCAGATACTACTATCTATATATACTACAATCACGCATAGATATCTCGCACTTTATGTCGCTCTCGCGCAAGTCGCGCCCTCAAGTGCTAGCCGTACAGGGGTACAGTATCCACCACAGATAAATCCACCACGAACATTTACTAATTATTAACTCATTTTGGAAAATTTATTTGCGCGGATTCGTCTTAGCGCTTCATCTTTAGAGTACAATGGAACATAATTTCAGTATGGAGTATTAAAAAAACCGACCTCAAAACTTCGTGGAATTAAATCTATTTGCCAAGTTTTATTGGAAGCGGTCACCGGAAAGTGCGCGACACCGGATTCATCCCCTAGTTTGCCACCCTTAAAAGGGGAATATGTTCTTCAAATTTGAATGGGACCAATATTGAGGTACCCTCTTTCCAACAAAAAGGAATCATCATCATCGGTTTACAAATGCGTAACATAAATACAAAAAAAAACCGGTACAATTGAGAACCTCCTCCTTTGTTTGAAGTCGGTTAAAAAGAGTGAGCCGTCTCGGTAGCTCACGTGCCTTCTATATAATGCCAACAACTAGTTTAAACACTTTTACACATTGATTAAGATTAAGTAATCCTAAACTTATGATCTTTATATGGAACTAACTCTGTTGAATTTGTATGAATAGAGTCCGCAGTCAAAAAAACGACCTGATGAGTAAAGAAATAATTTACAACTAGAATTCAGAAAAAGTATTTAACGCACCCGTGATTCGTACGATGAACCAAGATCATTAAGGCAATGTTAGAATAATAACGCATAGAATGATTGTTTCATATCCAACGAACTGTCACAAGTGAGGCAAAAATCAAATTCATGTAGGCTAGTTTTAGTAGTAGGTTAAACTTTCGGTTTTAGTGAATATTTATATAAAAATACAAGTTGAAACGCGTTACTTCCTTGCGGAATGTGATGTTAGTATCTATTTTATATTTGTCTGACGTATTTTTACACTCATTTACCGCACATTTCGTCATTTTTAGCTAAAATTCTTGAGCTGTTCGCGGTGCAAGTTGACCTTGAGCACTGAAGGCCCGCCCGCTCGTGTAGGCCCATTGGGCGCGCTTTAATTTGCCTCACTTAGCGAGTGCGGACTAGGTTTCTATGCGTTATTATTCTAAGAAAGCCATGTACGCTTTACGTAAAAACCCTGAATGGTTTTATTACCATATTGTAATAGAAAGGATAAACCGTTCGATGAGATAACAATCATCGGTGCAATAATATTTCTTCAACTATATTCATTCGTTCAACAATGCCGCTCTGTGACTGATGATACAAACAGAGTCATCAACATCAAGCCGACAAATTTCTTAACTCGTACACTTGTCCGCTTCGTCGAGCGCGTAGTTTCTCCACATGGTTATGCATGGGGTTCTTAGAAATCACTATCATTCATAATTAATGATGTGTAGCGGACCACGGCTCGTACATTCAACAGATACGGTGATTTTTTTTAAGCCCAAGTATAGAAGTAATTTTATTTTTTAGCCGATTTCAAAAAAGGAGGAGACTCGTAATTCGACTGTACTTTTTTATGTGTATGCTACGCGAATTTTTGTGAACTAATTTTGATGATTTTTTTTGTTGGAAAGAGAGTACCTCAGTATTGGTCCCATTTAAATTTGAATAAAATATTCCACCTCTAAGGGTCGCATTCTAGAACTGTACTCAATGCTCAAGTCAGGATTTGAGCAGACTTGAAATACGACCCTAATGGCAAGGACTTGAGTATGATTTTCAGTGCTCACTGCAATACTCAAGTCCTGACTTGAATATTGAGTAGAGTTCTGGAATACGACCCTAAGAGTGGAAAACTAGGAGATGAATCCGGTTTCGCGCACTTTCCGGTAACCGATTCCAATAAACCTTGGCAAATAGATGTAATTCTACGAACTTTTGAGATCGGTATTTTTTATAAAAATGTTGTAATCATTAGAAGTCATGACAACATAGTTTTGATTTTATCAATAATGACGAAAGTTTTCAATCCGGTACCTCGTTACTCAAATATTAACCTTATAAGTAAAATGTTAAGGAAGTATGCTTTGTTACAAGTAAAAACATCCGATGATTTAAATAACCTTACTCGTAATGTAAACCGTATATCAAAAATTACAAGGTAGTCTTTTAATTGCGTTAGCCGACTGATGCCCTAAATTTCCAATGATGATCCAAATTTCCAATGTGGAAATGACACTATTTTTACGGATCCAAATATATTTGTTTGAAACAATCATTTTATAAAAAACAAATTACCGTGATACGTTCGTTTTTTTTAATTTCAATTTATTTATTAACCTTGTTACAAAAAATATGTCACATTTGGCAAGTCAAAATATTATACAAATTAAAATAACAGAAATAAGTTTATTACTACAATTTCATTAAATCAAATCAATTCAAATAATATATTAAAACAAATTGTCATTTTAAACGTTAAAATAATATATAACAAAATGCGTCAACATACCAATAATATCATAAAATTCAGTATTATATCTGCTTATGTAAAAAATAAATCATTGTAAATAAAATATAACATAATAAAAGGAAGTCCTCAATTTTGTCTGGGGCGTCGTGCCCAGAAGGCTGGCAACATTTCGCCTTTGAATAGCTAAACTTATTCTTTGGAGGAAATAACTGCCAGGCTTGTGTTCACCCGAGGTTTCGACGAGGCGATCTGATAGCTCATTCGCTAGAAATTTCGCATGTGGCCCCCCAGGGATTAAATTGTACGACAGAGCAGGGTTGGCGTATTTGGCGCACACTCGTAAGGACATGGGGTTACCTATCAGAAGTCCGAAATGACATTTTCCAGAAATAACATTTGCTCGAATTTTCAATCGAAAGTAATTTTGAAAGGAAATGTTTTAAACCTTTTTTTTTTCTTTCCGGGGGAAAATCCGTCATGGATACCACCGCGTCACGGAAAGGCGCGGTGGTTATGTGAGACTCCTACTCACTAAAAACCCCCGTGTATTCCCACACTCCGCATGAGACGGGGCTGTGGCCACGTGGTTTACGATCCGCGGCCCCGTCTGTGGTTGTCCGCGACTGCGGACCCACCTCTGGGAGACTTTCTCCACTCCGTCGTTAGTGGCATGTCGGGAATACTTGGCATGCCAACCAACCCGTGAACCCTTGCCCAGTGAGTGACAAAGCCCCCGTTTTGCCACTCAGGGTTCACAGTCAGGGCGGCAGTTGGCGGGCGTAGGCCAGCCGCCTGCGCCCTAAACGTTTGTGGCGCTTAGGATGAGAAGAAGGGTCTTCCTCTCGCTCCCGCTCCGCCGCCTCTTTCCGCGACAATACATCGGTGCAGAAGGAGGCAAACGCATTCCACGCCCTCTCACTGCCGACCATGGCTCGCACCACGGTCGACAGTTTTTCTTTTAAACCTAACTTAACCCAACCTAACCGAACCTCATCTTGTCTTTGCGATAAACAACCAATATATCCTGAAAGAACAACGGTTTCGTTATAATTCGGTTTTCGGGGTAATGAAAATTCGAACAAACGTTATTTCGGAAAAAAGAGAGGGGGTTTATATTTAGACAAATGTATTATTGTCACCAGCTGGAGACTCGTTTCACATAAAGACTCACTTCCATTATACGGAGCCGACGGACGGCGAGATGTCGTTTCGTTGCGGGGACGTGTTCCATGTCGTGGACACGTTGCACAACGGCACCGTCGGCGCTTGGCAGGTCTACAGAATAGGTGAGTTGGTCATCAAAATCGGGGCATTTGCACCTAATTAGGAGAGCGTTTGCCTTCTCCGCATGAGATTCGGACTTGAACTGGGCAGACTCTACATCACACAGTCTCTCGAATTAATAATTGAGGCTATTAGCGCAAGTGGTGTAACTAAAATATTTACTACTACTACTATACTATAATTAATACTAATGTACGCATAATGGTATGTATTTTATTATATATTTCGTCATCATCGTCATCAGCTTATATGTCTCACGACACGGATCTTCTCTCAGATGAGGTCAAAGTCAAAGTCTAAGATCTTTTATTCCATAGGTAAAAACGTCACATTTAAGCTATTGCTCGTTCAGATCGCTGATTTCTCTGAGAAGAACGAGCAAGAAACTCTAGAGATTGCTCTTTTCAAATAAACTTAAATGCTATGGAATACACTTTGAATCAAATTTGTGTGGATTCTGGAGCCGTGTCGTCGTTCCATACATCTTTCATGCGACTCAAAAAAACGCGACTCACAACTAAAAAGATGACACCCGTTTGCCTCACCCTAAGTTATATCATTAAATATAACCCTTGTGAACAGGTCGCAACAATCAAGAAGTACAGAAAGGCACGATTCCGAACAAGGCGCGTGCAGAAGAGCTTGCAACGGCGCAGTTCAATGCCACCAAGAAAGAAATGTCTGGCAACGACGGCAAACACAACTTCTTCCGCCGTCGGCGCTCCACACATCGCCGCAGCAAGAGCTTGGGCAAAGTGAGTTATAATAAAAAAATATAAGGTTGTTTATCACACTAACAAATCTATAGTCGATCGATTGTAGAAAATCTCGAAACTTGTGAAAATTAAATCATGCAAAGTAGCTGCGCTTGTGTTGAATTTTTTTTACATGTAGTTAATTTTCTCATTATAGAATAATTTTATGCGAGGATTAGGGAAAGTTTTTTAACTTACGGTTTCCACGATCCACTGGGTTCGCGAAATAACAAACTAATTTACTTCCATTTTTATTCAAGTAATTCCTGATACTTTGAATATTTTTTGTGTCATGAGTTTTCCGGGAACTCATACTGTGGTAAGAAATCTGTAATTTGTTATAAGAATTTAGTGAATAACCACGAAATTCTTAAAATGTGTATAGTTTTGGTCACAGTTAAGTGGCGGTTTTCAAATCACATTACTGTTTGACTAAAAAGAGACTGGTCATCTCACCTCTCACTCTCACATCAGTTGAGACGGCGAAAAACCGCACATTCACGTGAGTTGAAATGTAATTATCAAAATATGCGTCAAATAACCCAATTGCATAGCGTAGAATCAATATTTAACCTAATTTTTAATACAACACGGCTGAATTTACCGTCTCAGTGAGCCGTGACCATAACACCCAGTGAAAGGGGCGAAACGTATTTGTTTGAAAAAAAGATCAAATATTTGCAATTAATTGTAAAATTTTAATGAAAACAAACCGACCTCAAGGGTTTGTGGAATTTCATTTATTTGCTAAGTTTTATTGAAATCGGTTAACAGAAAGTGGGTGAAACTGAACGAACCGGATTCATCCCCTACTTTATCACCCTTAGAGGTGAAACATTTTCGTCAAATTTGAATGCGACCACTTCTGAGGTAACCTCTTCCAACAAAACAGAATCAGCGAAAACGATTCACAAATATCGGAGTAATCGAATAACATATACAAAATAATCGAATAGAGAACCTCCTTCGTTTGAAATCGGTTAAAAATAGTTCCATTTTCAATAATTATGACTTTTTTACTTCATTATCTGTTTACGTGATCGTTAAAATAAATCCTCTATTTATTAACAGGAGCATTGGGACGAAGTAGTCCTTTCCGATAGTATCAGCAAGTTTCCGGCCTATGAACGTGTGGTGCTAAAACAGCCCGGCTTCGTGCGTCCTGTCATCGTGTTGGGGCCCGTAGCCGACATTGCTCGTGAGCGGTTGCTTACTGAGAGCCCTGACAAGTTCGCTTCCCCCAGTAAGTTGCTTTAGATTATTACAATAGTGTACACGTTTTGTCCTGTACCATAGGTTCTCAAACTTTTTGGCAATCCACTTAGGCAAGATAAAAAAATTTCAACGCTCACCACCACAAAAAATTATTGAAAATAAGTATTTTTTTATAATAACTTAACACTAAAAATCATCAGCTTCAGACTCCATCAGAAGGTCTCCCAGTATATTGTCTTTAAAAAAGAATGTCTTTAAATTGTTTGTCACAATGATGACCATAATCATATTCTGTATATATATACATATTATGTATACGACTATGTTAGGTTGTATGTATTAGGTTATTAATATAAAAATTCGCCGCGTTCGTCGTGAATTTCGTTTTTCTTAAAGGTTGACTGGTAGAGAATGCTTTTAGTATTAAATCGGCCTTTTGTACCATCATGTCTTGTAGTCAATAAAGTTTTAATACATAAATAAATAAAAATCACAAGGAAAATAGTGTAGTTCATGTAGATAATTCAGGTTTTATTATTCAAATGTGTTAGTACCTCTGAAGAGTCCTAGAGCCCCTACCGCCCGTAGGACTCTTCAGACCACTTTGGGAAATTATGTTCTATAGCCTCATTTACAGCAGTCGTTGTACAGGTTTAAGAGACGAGTTTAAGAGTACGTTGAGCTTGACACTGAACACTGAAATTCTACTATACGCTACTTTCGATTAGAACGGTCCAAAGTCTAAAGCATAGTTGGGAAATAATAAAGGTTCCGAAAAACAAATGAAATTGCATCAAATTGATGGTAATCGTAATAAAAATAAACACAGAATGTCCCGAAAAAATTAATCGTATCTGGCAAACAATCAATAATTTGTTCAAATCGCTAATTCTATGAAAACAAAACAGTTCTTTCGAAAGAAAAACTAACTTACCGATGTATGTCTTAAAAACTTTTCGGTAGCGGTAAAAAATAATGCAGTAATATTAATATTTTGAATATGCTCCTTTTTAATTTACCTTTCGGAGCTTTAATTACTACCTTTATAATAAGGCAAGTATGGCAACTCTTGCCTGTTCGGCGCATCAATACATAGGCATCGCTCGGAGCGTAGGGTTGTACCTACAGTCTTCATTGCAGTATTCTCGTGCCATATTGAAATAACCTTTGTTTAATGCAAAGCTTACGTATTGATATTTTTATATTAGCGTCGCGGATTGTGAGAGTATGATTATGAAATATAAATTAAATGCTGACCAAATATGAATTCTGGTTTAAACAACCAAAAACACAAGAATAAACACGTATACAATGTGATGTATTTTTTTTTAAATCGAACAACCGCTTCAATTCTGTAATTAATGGCGCGTGTGACAACCCTGAGTGTATGTGCGCCAATTTTAATATTAATGTTATTATATTACGCTTATAGTGTTGTGAACGTGGTTTTAATAAATATACTACAATACTAAACAAACTTTATTGCAGAAATGGACAATACATTAGAAGACAGCAAGACAAAGTCCACAGGCATCATTCGCTTGTCAAGCATCCGTACGATCATGGAGCGGGGCAAGCACGCCCTGCTCGATATAACTCCGAACGCTGTGGACCGCCTTAACTACGCCCAGTTCTACCCAATTGTGATATTTTTGAAAGCCGACAATAAGCACATTATCAAACAATTGCGAGCTGGATTGCCCAAGTAAGTTTTCTACTACATAATACATAACTAAATTCCGTCTTCAATTTATAAATGCAGATAATTTTGTTTCGAATTCCGAAGCTGTACATTTGTTCTGCGTTTGGGTCGTTTATAAACTACCCCTGGAAAGTTATGATATATATAACTTTCTTCTTTATCCGAGGACTATGTTTTCGAAGTACCACAGAACAGAGTTACGGCACAAAGACTTTTGCGTGACTCAACTGAGTCGAATATGATATTTATTTTTTAAAAACGTTTTTTTAAAAAAGTACATACATATATGAGATTTTTTTTTAATTCGTCGCGTCGTATGACGGCTTCATGTATTACGAGAGACGTACGTGGGAGGACAAACATTTCGAAACGCGAGAAAACTAAGACCCGTTGCTCACCGTACCAAACTCGTACTGTATTTTCTATTGGTCTTTATTTGTTGCGATTTCTGCATTTTGTGGAAAAACAAATGTATTTTTTAATTTATACCATAGTAAATTCAGTGGCTCTAGTGAAAAGGGGTACAAATCAAACAAGCCAACTTTACAAGGAGACGCGAAAGACAGTTAAAACTTAATGTAATATTAAGCGTTAAGTGTTTTTCGCGTTTGCTTGTAAAGTTAGCTTTTTTGACTTGCATCCCTTTTCAATTTGTGTCTAGAGATAAGTCGAGCGAGAAAAACGGATCTGTTGTTTCAATATCCTGACGCATTCAAACTCTATAGTTTTTTCATCACTCAAGTTTACACCTTAATATAATATTATGCAGATCTGCGCATAAGTCGTCGAAGAAGCTTCTAGAGCAGTGTCAGCATATGGAACGAGTTTGGGGCCACGTGTTCACTCACACCATCACGCTCAGCGAGGCCAACCAAAGCACATGGTTCGCCAAACTCACTGACCTCATTAACAGAACCCAGCAACAACAGCTATGGGTCTCTGAGACCAAGGTAAGACTTTCTAATCTTTATACATGGACTATTCTACATAATGTGCCAATTACTTCAGTTCATTTCAAAAGATGAAATCGTAAATATTAATGTTTAAATGGAATATGGTGTTTAGTTTGTTGTGCTTCAAGGTTATTTGTTACAAGCAAAATGGTGCATTTGGTAAAATTTATGTGCTCTTAAGTATTCTATGTATTTTGTGGTAATGTTTTGAAGACATATTTGGGGGTTGTTGAAGTTGACTCAAATATTACCTTCGAAACTTTATCTACAGATATAATTTTATTAACTAATTCATTTCTGTTCTGTCTTGCTGCGGTGTAGCACGTTGAAATGGTGTCGGACATATACTTTCCCATTCCGCCCTCCCCATACCCCGCTCTTTACCCAATCTCCTACCCTCTAAACTTTTACCAGCAACTTCCGCAACGGCCTGTAAGCGCGCTTCAAGGCATGTCGCCTGCTAACACCACCACGAAAAATGCTAAACGCTCTAACCATCTTATTGACGCTAACCGGAATCACGTAGTGCCCTACTATTACTCTGAAACGCTTACCCAGAGCGTGCCAATCACTAACTTAACTAATCGCAATAGGCATACTTTCATGTGTCCAGAGGACAGGCAAAATAACTACCAAAGAACGCAGACCACTAGACTCAGCCCAAAATTACAATCAAGAATTGGCAGCCCCACGAGCCCCTTTTACCAACCACAGTCGTTCAGGCCTTACAGTGTTTTAGAGACAACGTCTAAATCGCCCGTTCCGAACTTGCAAAGACCGTCATCTGTCGTTCCGATGTCGGAACAATTCCGACCAGCCTCAGCCTTCTTTCAACATGACGAAAAGTTCAAAAAAGTGCCGGAATGGAAAGCTCGACTTCCAAGAGAAGTTCTGATACCAAACTTCAAATCCTTAGATAGACCTGTAAGGCAGATTTGTCGTATCCCTAATTGCAAATGTAATGAGAAGCCTGTCGTGGACCCAGATAGATTCAGCCAAGTGAAGACTCTTCCGAGCGTTTCCGAAAGGTCGTTAAATAAATTAAAGAATCTTTCTTTGCCGACATTGAAGTTAGATGAACTTGACAAAGACGATAAATTCGATAAAACTGAAGCGGAAAGAGACTTGACATCGACTGTAAGTAAACCAATATCTGAACAACATTTAGGGTACGTTTAGGGAGTTATGATTAGTGATCGGATGTTCGGGCCATTATTTACCTAAACTTGCAGGTTTTTACCGCATACGACGAAATAATATGGACATGAATGATTATCGTTAATTACAGGTTTCTAACCACGGTATGGATTCGTTTTGTTTTCCCGTTGTTTGGGAACGTGACACGCTCCCTGATCACGGATTGACTCAGTCAACTCAGATAATTACTAACAATAATTTAGTGACCACCAACGGCTTACAATCAATATATACATATAATCGATGCCTTTGTAATTAAGCACTTCTCGTAAAGTATTTTTTTTTCATTGTACATTATAATAATTATAGTAATGTTAATAACTTACTTTTAGGATGGTATATGCTCATTCTCAGCATTATTATCATGACTTCAGTTGTACGTATAAGTATTTATTGTTTCTCTCAGAGTCCCCTTGATTATCCCCATTTTTTCCAGTTCATGTCACGTGAGTCGGCCGTCTAGGTACATTCGATGTAAACTTTTTTTGTTTTCCTTACTAAACTAACAGTTAAAATGTTGTTTTGTAGATAATTTGCACTTATTTAAGGAAATAATATTAATTACTCAAGTCGAGGACCTGGGACTGACTTAATTGATTTTTATATTTTTATTTATAAGGCATATCCATGTTATTTTTTCGTGGAGATAAAAGTGAAGTTTAGGTAAATAAGCGCCTGATTATCCAATGACTAATTATGATATAGCATCCTATTAACAACAGTGGTTACCACTAGAATAAGCACAACATAATATTTATAAGCAATCTTTATTTGCTCACGTTATTATCTGTATATTTTGCTGCATGTTATTAATCCGCTTTGCTTGTTGGTACTTACGTTAGTAGTATTTTCATTTCAAATAGGTACTTGAATACTGCATTTGCCAAATGCTTTTGTTAAGTTTTACAAGTAGATTTTTGAATAGCGTTTTGTGTTTGTAAATATGTTTACAACGATCTTACCAGTGTTTAGGACCACAGTTTTTATAAGGAGTTGACATTCAAAATGAGATAGAATCCAATTGATTTGGAAATTCAATTATGTTACATTATTTGAACGTTGACTGCCGAGTGTGTAAATTATCCAGCATTAATCATCTACAGACGCTAAATTGGATTTTAGTTTCTGTAACGTTTTTATTGCATTCATTCATTTGTCTTGTCTTGTCACCCCATTCCATAAACCCACCCTACCGGACGATGCTGCTCCTCAATATGGCACAAAATGATGGCTTCACAAAATGGCGGAAAACAGAGGCCTGAGCCGTTGTCTGACGATTTCTTATTCTCAATGTCGTCGAGTACGGAGAATAGACTGTCTTACGCGTCGAGTCCAGAGAGTGACTTGGAAGTGAGTCCCCCGCCGGCGCCGCGTCTCGTGAAATCGTCGTCCGACCCATCGATCGCCACCACACAGGACAATATGGATCGCGACGATGACATGAATCACATGGGCGACGCTGTCCCTCCTCCGTATACGGTTGGTATTGTAGTGACGCAATATGTTTTAATTTTCGTCGTTAGTACTATTACGTATTGTTATCTTTATGTTAAGGTTATACGCTACGCATGGTATGTGTTGCCGTTACATTAGTGGAAAATTCCAAATATTATATTTACAACATTCGAAAAGACAACAGGTTCTCACAATTCGTTTTGAAATTTATAGCAAGGTGGATATGGAGACAGCAAGTACGGGTTCTCATCGAACACGAACGGGGCTACAAACAACGGGGTAAATCACGGCGGTCAAAGCGGTCACAGCATGGGGCCCCCGCAGGCTGAGGCCCCGCCATACCACGCCAACCCGATGGCTCATTCTCCACCGCACTCCCCGCTATATGGAACTGGTAAGCACGTAACAGCTAGTGTTATTTATGGCTTATTAAGGTATGCGCGATTTGTCTGGTATGTCGAGCATTGATCTTTTTTGGCACTTCGTTAATGGTGAAAACAAAGACGTCATTACCGCCAGGGGCTCTTCTAGTATGCAAGACCGATTACCACCCGATGATTGTCTGTCGCCGCCATCTCATGTGCCGGTATGCTGAATGGACTACGAGACGTGGGTTACAGCTCAGGCTTCAGGCGAAGCCTCCTTAATAACTTACAACTTGCCCAACCGTACTGTACAAAACTAGATTGTTTTTTAACGTGACCTCTGACTATAGCATTAGCGAAAATTATGTAATTTTTTATTTGCTACTGCGATGTTATGTAATTGCGATGTTCATGTTTACTCATATTGGCTTGTAACTTTTCCGAATCATAAAATTGAAGTGTAAAAACAAATGTAAATATCACAAAAGGGTGCGTATATATCAAGCGAAAGCGCTGTGCGCGCGCTACCCGTGTACGATTCAGTTCGCCTCTGTAATGACATCTCATATTATGCGCGTGCGGGACACGCGAACATATCGTATTAGGTATGTAATGCACGTGTGTAGTTCACGAAGCTTTCCGAAACAGGCGAATTCGCTAGATTTGTACGCACCCTAAAATTTGAGTTGACTTGTCAATTGCGTACGAAGCAATTGAACCTTGACCCTTTACCGCTAGCGTTACATTGTTGGTAAATTCAGTATTACAAAATTTTCCGTAGTGAAAAACCACTTATTTCAAGAAATTGCTGCCGTGGCCCAATAGTTACCATGTCGATCTGCGTGTTACGCAGAGGTCCCGGGTTTGATTCCCGGGCCGGGAGAAATATTTGTATGGCTTACATTTATTTTTCTCGTGAGTTTTCTCATGCAATCACGATATAGGGTTTCCCTAATGCAGGGCTATGAGTGTATGCGATATTAATATTATTGTTGATGTAACGCTTTTGGTACTGACGGTTGTCTGTGTTCAGCAGTGCCCGAGCTGCCTCCGCGTGGAGGTGTGAACCGACCCGCGGGCGGAGTACTGCTGCCTGCGCCGCCGCCGGGTCGTCCGCCGCACACGCTTAGACATAATCCCTCTGTAAGTATGACGGTGAGTGCTGGAGCCTCGAGTATAACGAAAACGCGCGATTGTGTCGTGGCATTGATGCAAACGCGCGACTGCATCGATGCAGTAGTTTGTGTTGAATCGTCAGAAACGTGCATCGCGATTGTATCGTGTTTGCATCGCGATTGTATCGCGTTTGCGTCGCGTAAAGTTTATTACAGACATCTTAACAATTTCTTACTTGTCAAATATATTTAAAAATAAAAGTGATAAAATAATTTCATCTTTTTTAGTATGGACCGTTTTGTCCGGAACTAGCTCACATAAATTTTCTCTAATTTTGAGTTAAGTAGATATTTGTGAATTATGTTTTACAATATTTATTATACGGTTTTATTGACGTGTAGCGAACAAATTTTACGTTCAGCAATGGTGTAATCGTAAAATTCACACAGGTATTTTGATTTACAACACTATTGTAATAGTGCAATAAGCAGTGCGTTATGATTATCATGGTAGTAAAAATACCATGATGTACAGTAAAATTAATATTACTTAAAAATTGTTAAGAGAATGGGTTTGTTTCACCCAAATTCTAACCCCATTAACATTATCGCGAACCAGCTATGTGACGTGACGTCATTTATTACTAACAAAATAATACTAATAAGCACATTTTAACACATTTCTATGCAAGAGCAAGAGAGCTTATTCCATCCGTTTTATGAAATTCATCAGTCTGCTCTAGGTAATATATTTTTATCGACTTACTAAAACGAGTCAATATACATATACCAGAAGTGGTCTATTACTCCAAGGGTTTATATTGGTTTTTAGTCTCGACTTAAAACTTGCTTACTTTTCACTTCGATTGCAAGGAAAAACAATATTTCGTTCGTTTTTGCTCTAGAACAAAATTACGAATCAAAATTCTGAAGTTTTCGCGGTATTTTTTTTCACAGACACAGATACAACAAACACACTAACGCGGGTAAATAATATGGCGCTACCGTCTATGCGGAAAAGGCACGGAACTAAAATCTAGCGTGTTACAGGCTGTTTGAGTTTGTACACTCGAAGTAAATTTAAAAATTTGGTATTTTTTACTCTCTAGGGATTAAATTGTGCACTTTACTCCCGCTACGCAAGGCTTTAATGACGTACTTTTAGAGCATGAGAACTTAGAATAATAACGCATAGAAACCTAGTCCGCATACGCTAAGTGAGGCAAATTGAAGCGCTCCCAAAGGGCCTACACGAGCGGGCGGGCCGTCAGTGCTCAAGTTCAACTTGCACCGCGAACAGCTCAAGAATTTTAGCTAAAAATGACGAAATGTGCGGTAAATGAGTGTAAAAATACGTCAGACAAACATAAAATAGATACTAACATCACATTCCACAAGGAAGTAACGCGTTTCAACTTGTATTTTTATATAAATATTCACTAAAACCGAAAATTAACCTACTACTAAAACTAGCCTACATGAATTTGATTTTCGCCTCACTTGTGACAGTTCGTTTGATATGAAACTATCATTCTATGCGTTATTATTCTAAGCATGAGAAGTGAAAAAATAATAACGTGGTCCTCTGTCCACAGACAAACCGGCCAAGTGCACAGGAACGTCTTTTTGGTCCGTCCAAGGAGGGCAGCGACGAGGCGTCGACGTACACCGCGCGGCCCACCAGCATGATCATACAGCCTACGCAGAGTCAGGGCTCGCTGGACAGACATCGCCATCCCTCTAACCCGGTAATGCCTTCCTTCCTAATGCCTTTACAGCCGTTTTTCTCATTTGCATTTCAGGAACTCTCCAGATATTGGTACTTAAAGTCTTATTTTCACCTAAAAAGAAATGTCAATTCCTCTGATTTTGCTTAACCGAAAACTGAAACTTAATGAGATATTAAAAAACCGATTAGAGGGTATTGTAGGTCTCGTTTCGCTGACCCCGAATCGAGTTATTATAAATAAAATAAATAAATAAATGTAAATAACTCAGTTTCGCTTTATCGATTACGTTAGTGATAAGGAGGGCAATTAAGCAAATAAATATATTTATTTCTTCGTTTTGGATTTGGAGATTGTAATGCAACACCATCGAGTATATAACCAGAAATAGAGACGAAATAAGGGCCATATATTCCTGGTAACACATTAGCGATGCAGCTCTTATAAACATCAAATCTCGTTTGCACTGAAACATTGACAAGCCAACTACTGACCCGTGTGTACGTCTCCGTATATTTCAAAAAATATTCTGTATTTATTGTAATAAAGATAATATCTCTAACAATGCCGTGCTGTTCTATTCGGTGGTGTGGGAAAAACAGCAAAACATCTAATTACAAAACAAACGGAATCACATTTCATCGGTAATTAAATATTAAATATGTAATTTTGCAGTTTACGTCCATTATAGCAAAACACAAGTTAACTGATCGATTTGAAGTGAAACAGTTGACGACACCCGTCAATTGTTTCGAACTCGGGCTGGCCAATTGGAGCGCAGTTGTCACGGTAATGATATGGCAGAATAGTTTTCAAACAAATTAAATTACATTTCGTCTCTATTTCTGGTTATATGCTCGATGTGCTACACTAACCTAATACTGGGGCTAATGTTATCATGTTGTGTACACTATTTTTGGAATGTGGTCTAGGCTATTAATGTATCAAACTGTATCTGTTTCCATGTGATGATTACATTTTGTTTGTGCAGTTGTAGTGCCACTCAGAGCTTTATTGAGACATAAGTTGACAAGTCCCGTGTGCCAGTAATTTCAACAGCACTCTGCAACTGTTATGAACAGGTGTGTCGCTTACCATCAGGCGCACGACTTTTGCGTCCCGTCACTTAGTTATTACAAAAAAAACCTTACTTTTTAATACTTTACTACTTGGAGGCATAAATAAAATCGACTCCTCCTACATAAAGTATCGTATGTCGAAATTGCCAAGTTTACAGGGGAGTGTTTTAAAGTTCTCCGTTTCATTCAGCAAAGTGTTGTGATCATCTAATAAATCATCTAAGCGATATCTAGAATTGTATAATACTCTATGTGAGCAATGAGATTTGCCCTATAAAAGTGAGACGTCACGTGTTATGCTTATTTCAGTGAATTTAAAAGAACTTTAAAAGGCTCCCCTGTAAACTTGGCAATTTCGTAAAGATGCTTTATTATGGGCCTCATAAGAAGGCTCAAGGTCACGCAGTGGGCAATGGAGAGAGCGATGCTCAGTATTTCCATACGTGATAGAATCAGAAATGAGGAAATCCGTTAGAGAACTAAGGTAATCGATATAGCTTGAAGAATCGCTCAGCTGAAGTGGCAGTGGGCGGGGCACATAGCTAGGAGAACCAATGGCCGTTGGGGCGGAAAAGTCCTTCAATGGCGACACTCAGCTGGCAGGCGCCCCACCAGGTGGGCCGACGATCGTTGGGGGAGGCCTATGCCCAGCAGTGGGCGTCGCATGTCTGAATGATGATGATGACTTTACTTGTGCTTCTTTCTTGAAGAAGCAATTCTAGTTCTGAAACAGCGTGACGTTGGAACGTATTTGCTTTTTATTTATTTATACGTTACGCTAATATGGGCGGTGTTCTGCATAAACGAGGTAACCGTAACCCACAGAAAATCGTAAAATGACTTATGAATACAATCTTATACCTTAGAACATGAAGTTTAATATTTTGTTCACTACATCAATAAAAAAAATTGTTTTCACGAAACCTAGTTCGTTTTATGGGCGAATTTCGCAAAAATGTGTTACACGTAGTTAATACATGCATGCGAATTACAACCGATTAATTTTAAATGTAGTTTGAAACTTTGAATTTTGTTGATGATATGGACAGCCAAGGAAATGATATTGATTCCGAAACCGAGGAATGAGCAATTAGAATGTGGGAAGAATTTATTTTAAATTTGTGCAATAGCATAAATAACACTTTAATTATAAATTATTAAAATAGGAATTAAAAGGTATAACAATCATTAGTTAAAGCTTACATTAGTCCAATTTTACATTTTATGTTATGGAGTAAAAAAAAAGCCATTTCATTTTTAATTGTCCACAATTTCATTCTTTTACAGCGTCCAGTACTTTATTATATAACTTGGATGCTAATACAAACATCCCTCATGTAAAATTCCAAATTAGAGCGTTGTATGGGCCGTTTTTCTATTTTATTCCTTGTGTTCCCAGGATATTTAGTTTTGACTAAATTAAAGTTGCCTAGATTTAGTTTGATAAAAACACACCACATTCTTCCATGGGTTACCTATCAGCAGTCTGAAATGACATTTTCCAGAAATAACGTTTGGTCGAAATTTCATAACCTCCAAAGTAATTTTGAGAGGAAAATGTTTTTTTCTTTTAAACCTAACTTAACCTAACCTAACAGCACCTAATCGTGTATTTTCGATAAACATTCAACATATCCTGAAAGAACAACTGTTTCGTTATAATTCGGCTTTCGGTGTAATGAAAATTCGAACAAACGTTATTTCGTACAAAAAATTTTCGAGTTTGTGATAGGTTACCCTTTCATGCCATGGCATACAAAATCGTATGCCGTCATGGTGGCACTTCACGTGATTATTTGTATTTGCGTATTTGATATATTTGGCAAATAATCACCATGTGTAGATAGCATGTGTGACAATGTATTTGCTATCTAGTATATAACCAGATGTGCCTTGTTTGCTTATCCGATAAATACAGCGAACGCCAAACTCGATAAACATCAAAGGAGCCAAATAGGCAAATACGCGGGTAAACCGTCCACACTATGTTCCTATTCATTATTTCAACTCCTTATTTGATCATGTGTAGACGGCCATATTTGTCAGTGTCTGCTTGTTAATCAAGTAAATCAAACATCCAACATCGAATACAAGTAGCCAAGTGAAGTGCCGCTATAAAATGTGACTTATGTTAGAGCTCTAACTTTTCGTGTTGGTAATATTTGTTTTTATCGTGCAGCAGAGCTCGTATGATGGCACTTCGTCGTATGACTACAGCAGCGCGTCGAACAACGGGTCGGTGTTGGGTTCGCGGCTTCCGCCTAACGCGCCCGACGACCTAAAAGTAGCGCCGCCTTCTATGTAAGTATTCACCGTTAGCGTGTTGTTTACTGAAGAAGTTTTAGGCCATACTCAAATTCGTGAAATTCTCGCGCATTCTCGAGAACGCTTGCGCATTCCGTCTAAGACTTTGGCTCGTTTGTACGTTACACGAATGATCATCAAGTTCATGATACAATGTAGAAATATCTTTACAAAAAATCGCTCTCATTCCGTTGCAATTGAGCCTAAGTATAATGCTATTTGGGTACTTGAAAGTAGAGTGAACTTTTTTCGACATGCAGATGTACTCTTCTATAGTTTGTGTCATTTAGCATGTCGATAGCGGTCATTGACCCGAGTTGTCAGGATGTTTTACCAACATGATATTTAATTACTTTTTGTGAAATTACTCCACTAATTTGTTATAATTATTAATATAAAGATCAAACACTTAGAAAAATTTACTTCGATCCAGCTGGATTCGAACCAACGTCTTCTAGCAAACCGTAACAGACGCTGTGTCAACTAAGCAACGAAACAAACCAGCGGACCTTACGAATTTAACAAAAATGAAAAGCTAACAATAAAACTTTCGCACGTTACCGGAAACAGGAGAGTGTCATTTTCTCAAATAACATGTAAGTACAGTGGTAGGAATGTGAATGATAGCCATTGAGATGTTAAACGGCACATAGTATATATATTATGGTGCAAACTGGACTGTTTGATTCAGATTCTTATTTTTTTTTGTACAGAAAAATGGAACCGCCGCCTCCACCGAACCCGACGGCAATGTCTGCTCAGAGTCCACAGCGAAACTCCAACTCGCACGAGCACAACTCTCTCGACTATAGGAACGCAGAAAGTAATTATAGGTGGGTCATTCGTTTATACACGGTTAGAGCTGTAATTATCTTAAAATGTTAATGGACACCTATAAACTATAAACACCTATAAACATTGGAAAGCACTTTCACCGAGATAAAATGTATTTTCTCCTATAATATTCTATGGTTGGTCGAAAGCATCTCTAAAAAGTAAGATTTACCATAAGGCCATGGTCCACCCCTCCCATTGCAGTTACACCAACACTTTATAAAAATGTTACGTGAAGATGGCTGTGTTCTAAGGCAAGCTGAGTTCAATACGCGCGATCGTTGACAAGTTAGAGAACATTGCAAAGTATATAATAAGTTTGCGTGTGTGCATTTGTAAAATTTAACTGCCTGTTTTTTTTTTCTCTTGTTATTATTATTGGATACAAATATCGAACAAACACAAAGAAAAATTCTTTCGATACGTCTGGACTCTAATCGAATCAGCGTCTGTCGCCTCAACGTGGTTACAGACACTTGATCGTACTAGTCGGATTTTTCTCCGTCTTTTTTCAATTTTTGCATCAGTAATAATTAACTGCATGCAATGATGGCCGTTTTGACAGATAACAATAATGAGTCAAATCTCAATTCATTATCGAAAAAAATATAATCAAATCAGCTATAAGTTTTTAGATTTATAACTAGTATTGCAATGGGTAGCTGATTAAAAAGTTTTAATAAAACGAAAATAAAAATGTTTTGTATATCGTCAAGTCGAAATTGCTTTGTTTTGCATTGAGGTTAGAAACCAGTTTCCCGGAGGTAGAAGTTGTGCTGGCCAGTGATCCTAAAGTGACGGTCGTATTCATTGACTTACAATTATATGGACGTCGGGTCTGCGCTAAAAAGTGTCCGAACTTATAGGGCGTTTAAATCGTATACAGAGCGTCATTCACGGTTTATTCTTCGTTTGTTCGACTGACAGCGAAGCAAGCAAAATTAGACAGTACTTCGATGACATTACAATTTAAATTCAACGTTTTAGCTTTTTCATATTCCTTTAGAAGTCACTACGTTTAAATACGTTGACTTGGGACATTTTTTTCGTGGTTTTTGTATTAGACCCGTCGTCCATTTATTTGTAAGTCAATGATCGTATAAGATTACGTTTTTAAAAATTTCGAATTTCGAAAAACAAATGCCGAGTTGAGTCGTAAAATTATACATCCATAAATTTTACTGCACCTCACTATTGACAACAATGTTACATCTATTAACTCCTTCAACGTAGTTATGAACTAATACGAAATTTCATGAGGGGGTAAACGTCAAAACGGCCATCATAATGGCACATAACGTGCTAGTACTACATTGTAGTATTGTCATAAAAAATAGATGAAGGTATTAAAAATATCGTGATATTTAACAAAAATAAAACATATTTTTGTCGTTTTTTTATCAGGTCTTTCACAAAATGGCTATTCTCTAAGAAGTGGTAAATTCATTTTTACAGTATGATTAGATAATTGTTATTTTCTTTTTGATATCACCTTCATCACACTTAAGTCTTTCCAGTCATCTCTCTTATAAGCCATCTCCTTGACCTCTTTATAAGACACGACACCGGCCTTTTCCTTTATTGGGTCTATGTAACTGCGCCTATGTCGACCTCTTCCTCTCTTCCCCTCGATCTTTCCCTCCAAAATGGTCTTAAAGGAGTTGTCGTGTCGTATCAAATATCCAATCATTTTCCCGCGTCTATACTCTATAGTGTTCAGGATGGTTCTTTTCTCGTTTACCATTCTTAATACTTCCTCTTTAGTTTTCTTTACTATCCAACTTATGTCCTTCTTCCTCCTACAGCACCACATCTCAAAAGCTTCTAATCTTTCCCTATCTGTTTGTGTCAGTGTCCATGTTTCACATCCATAAATTGCAATACTCCAAATGTACACTCTAATTAAATTTTTTTTATAAACAATATTATTATCTAGAGATTTAATTAAGCATCATTACTCGCTTTAAGGCACATACGATTACAAGAATGTACACAGATTCACAATATACAAATATCGTAAAAAAACTAACAACCTCGCGCAGTGGCGTATTTGCAGTCCTGGCCACCCTAGCTCCCAGGCCATGTAGTCAGTACCAGCCGCCCCTTTCTCAGCATTTATCACATACTGGTAGACAACGTAATGAATTTACGTCGCAGACTTTTATGTAGTAGACCTTTTTAAAACCTACGATTTTCGAGAACATTGCTTTGATATGTCTCTGTCATATTACAAGGCGCACGCCAGTAAAGCGCCCAGCTGGCATGATTTTTGCCGACATCTTCAACATTTATTTCAGCCAACTTACACAAAACCTGAATAAATTATACACTTAATCATTCTTCATGAATGACTCTGTCTATTGGTGGGAACTGCATGAAAATCCGTTCAGTAGTTTTTGAGTTTATCGCAATCAGACAGACAGACGCGATAGTGATATGAACCATTTTATACATAAAATGTATGTGATTTAGGAAGATTATTGTTATACTATGCGGTGCAGTGCGGCTCGCCATAGTGTGCGTCAGCCTTTAGAATATTTAGGTACTTTAGTTGAGTTATTTCTTGTCATCGTCAGTGGATTTTTTACCACCATTGACCGCCTCTAAATCTGGCCGCCTTAGGCCCGGGCCTTAGGTCAAATCCGCCACTGGATACTAACATCATAAACAACAACTTTTGTTCATAACTAAGTAACCGACAGTTTTAGCGAATTTGAATTAGCACCCTTACTAAATTAAACGTTAACTACCCGAAGCGAGAGACTGGAGTGCATACTAGGTAACAAGACCTATGTCCCAGGTCTCCGACTCCCACCCCTTACAATTCAGTTTTTCACAAAGTGGTCGAGCATGATATCTGGCGCCCTTCTGCTCATTTTCATGAAGCCACTGGTCATTGTAGTTCCATTAAGATTACATTGCAAGTATGATATCAACAGTAGAACTCGTTGTGAAAGAGTTCGTCCAGGGACGAACCTCCACCTTACCTATTTCTGCCGCCAAGCAGTAATGCTAGCAGTCGTAAAGATACTTGTAAAATTACAGTCACATGGGACTTGGCAACTTATGTCTTAGGGTGACTCAGATCTTTGCGATTTAAAGCTCTGAGTGCACTGTAACAGTTATGGACATGCGTGTACCTTACCATCAGGCGCACGACACGTTCGTCCTATCATTTGATATAATAAAAAAAATGATAATATTTGCTATTCTTTTAAAATTTCGTTGCAATGACAGTAGTCTTAATTGAATGTCAGTGATGGCATATTCATACATACTTTACTAACATTCGAATTTGCCTTACTTGAACTATATTGGAAATTACTAGGCATATCTTAATTTTTATATCGTTTAAAGAGCAATTTAGTCTTCAAGTTAAATATGTACAATATTAGTACACTACGTCATCGAAGCTCAATCTCTGACAAAGTCTAATCTCTGACAAGACACTAACCTTAACTTTTAGCAGAATACCAATCCTACAAAATCTTGCCATCACTTTATCCGGCACACAATTCAGATGTTTCAAAATTAGCAGACTTGGGATCCCGACATCGAGTATATAACCAGAAATAGAGACGAAATGTTATTTAATTTGTTTCAAAACTAAATTGCCAAATCATTACGGTGACAACTGGGCTCCGATTAGCCAGCCCAAATTCAAAACAAATTTGAAGTGAAACAATTGACGGATGTCGTCAATTGTTCCACTTCAAATCTACCACCAAAACAGCTTTGCTATAATGGACGAAAATTGATAAATTACATATTTAATTGCCGATGAAATTTGATTCCGTTTGTTTTGTAATTAGATGTTTTGCTATTTTTCCCACATCACCGAATGGAACAGACCCCCATTGTTAGAGAATATTATCTTTACTACAGAATATATTTGGAATCACACAGTTCAGAAATACACACAGGTCAGTTGTTGGCGCTGTTCTGTTTCAGCTTTCTAATTTGTGATTTCAGCGCAAACGAGAGTTGATATAAGGCCCATTTGTCTGATGAGTTGCCAGGGATGGATGGCCCTTATTTCGTCTGTATTTCTGGTTATATACTCGATGGATCCCGGTCAACGAATAAGGATTTTATTTAAATATAGAAAATGAAAGTGTCATCTCCGAAAATGTGGTGTTGTAACAGGTTAGGAGAGAACTACCGCTCGCCACAGCAGAGTCGGCCTCCGCCGGTGAACGGTAACAGCCCACACACACCCATGCACACAAGAGGACCTTCACTGCCCAACGTGCCAAACAATGACCATGCTAAGTACAGGTACAGGCATCTGCAAAATGACATATTAATGATTATTTATCTATACAAATATTTTATGAAAAATCTGTAAGGTTGTTACCACATCAACAAATCTATAGACGGCTCCCTAAATAAACGACGACATAAAAGCGTCGCGACGATGCAATGTATACAGGCAGCGCTCGCATCAGTGGCATAACTTTCTTGCTTGTACATTTTAAAAGCTACTAGAGAACCCACGGTAAGAATTACTAATTGATTTGTCGATCGACCAACCATCCGTCGTTGATAGTCGAATGATCGTTTGATCGATCGACATTGGTCGATAAATCAATGTTAACATTTCGATACCGAAATTTCACGCGTTTAAACAATTATTAAGTATTATTTGCATTTCGTCGGTGTATTGTAGAAAGGGCAAAGGCGCCATTTCGAAATTTGTTTTCAAGGGAGCATGTTTTAGGTCTTCACGACCTTTTTTAAAATAATTACGTCCTGTTTTAAATTCAAATTTAAAACCTTTAACTTAATTAAAATCAAAATTGAATTTTAAAACAGGACGTAAATATTTTAAAACAATCGTGAATAACTAAAACATGTCCTCCTGAAAAATGTTTCGAAATGGCGCTATCGCCCTTTCTATAAAACACCGAACGGTATTGTCCTGACATTTTGCGTAAAGTTTAAAAACCAATGTTACTAAACCAAACGATCGACGTCGATCGATGTGGTAACAACCTAACGGAAATAATGATAATATTGTGCTAGGAAACCAAATCAATTACCTGGTCTCTAATTAGGGGATTTCCTTCTAACTTAATTCCGATACATTATCCAAGACACGCACATCAGAACCAATTTTGAAAAGATAGTTTTCCGAGCAGGTCTTACCCGAACCCCGGTCTTCCACATCTAGCGTAATATATATTTTGTATGATTATATATTATATACCTATATGTAGGACTAATTCTTGCATATAGATGCAGTAGTGCTTCTTGTTAAAGAATTCGTCCAATTCGTCCAAAAAATTGTACAATATTTGAATAAGAATAATAATTAACATTTGAAAACGGGAATAAACGCGTTTACATACGAATAGGTATTTTTCACACCTACCTAGTTTCCCGACGTTTCGGCCAGGTTGCACTGGCCGTGGTCACGGGCCGAGTCAGTCAGCCCGTGACCACGGCCAGTCAGTCAGCTAGGTAGGTGTGAAAAATACCTATGATCTATATCATTACTTTATCATTGCTATTATATAATTATCTTTATAAGTACTGTATCACTACCAATGATCTATTTCATTATTGAAATAGAATAAAACCTAATTGTATAATTTATCCTTAGCGGACGCACAAATTCGGCATCACAAGCGGACTACAGTGGACGCGGCGGTGCCCCCGTGCCGCCATACAAGCCTGTTCCACCACCAAAACCTAAACACTACAGACCGCCCGATAACACGCACCACCCTAGGAATGGAGTAAGTAATTTTCAGTAAGGCGTACGAATCCCCTACATGCACCATGTATGAAAGGGCGGACTATGAAATTATTAAGACAATGCGTGGCTTTCAATAGTGCTTGTAATCTAATACAGTTTTGTGTTGACTGTTTTGACTTCACAGTTCAATGTCAGTGTAGATTTGAGCAAACGCAATGTAATGTAAAGATACAGTCCATCTGTCTCTTTCGTTAATATAACATTTATTTTAGTTTTAAACTATCTATTATCATAGATCCTTCTAAATATTTTTATTTATTTTTTTTTACTACCATGTTTTTTTATAACAATATTTCACTATAAGTTTGTTAGTATTGATACTAATATCGAACGAATACAAAGGAAAATTCCTTCAATCCGAACGGACTCGAACCAGTGTCTGTTGCCTCAACGTGGCTTCAAAATTTTTGATTTTGATACAAATGCATATCAATTAAAATTATCAGATCTTATGAAAAAGTAGCTATTTCTCGTAATTCATGATTTATAGTATGTGATTAAGAGGTACTGAGTCGAAGTTCTTGTTCGCTGACACGACGTGAAAGCCTTGCATGCTTCAGTAAAAGAAGTTAAAAGCGGTTTAATGGTCATAATGTTTTAATATAACACCGCCGGTTATCACTAACATTTTGTGGCATTTGTTGCTGTTCATTTTGACTTGATAAGTGTAATTTTAAGATTAGTTTTCTGTACCTAATTTCCGTAGCAATTTTCATTATTTAAGTATTCGAGTAAATTATCGTGAAATATTAAATAATTATTTCAGGATACTATATTAAATAATACTTCAAGATAAAGTTGTACAATATTTGAATAAGAATAAAAATTAACATTTGGAAACGGGAATAAACGCGTTTACATACGAATAGGTATTTTTCACACCTACCTAGTTTCCCGACGTTTCGGCCAGGTTGCACTGGCTGTGGTCACGGGCGGAGCCAGTCTGCCCGTGACCACGGCCAGTCAGTCAGCTAGGTAGGAGTGAAAAATACCTATTCGTATGTAAAGGCGTTTATTCCCGTTTCCAAATGTTAGTACAATGCAACGCGATGGTTTAAAACTATAAGAATAAAAATTGCCACTGAAATTGGGTAGAGAAAACTAACCTGAAAATTACACATAAATGCTTATGAGTCCATACTACCTCGGCTTGAATTCAAATTTTTACCGTACTAATACGGTTCATTTTGTTAAGGTCGAGCGGCAGGGTCACTGGGTTTATTTCAGAATAAATTTTTTTTACAAACGAAAATAAATCCATTTGAAATATGTATATCGTATAGTATGAATACATGTTCTATTTAGTTCAGTTGATATAAAACAAAATCATTCTTATATATAAAGTTCCGATTGAATACAGCGGTTTTATTGTAAAATTTCGAGGTAAGGCTGAATGGTTATCATGCCGGACTGCCACGCAGAGGTCCCAGGTTCGATTCCCAGGCCGGGAGAAATATTTGTATGGTCTTCATTTATTTCTCTCGTGAGTTTGGGTGTAATTTGTGGTTGTCTATGTGTGTGTCCATGGCACCCGCGACAGTTATGTTGAGTGTGTGCGTTATTAAATGTCGTGAATATTTTTAAGAATCGTGTTTTCACATGCATATCCTCAATTTTACTATATATTTTTTCCAAAGTGTAAAGATTCAACAATTCCACTGTTATGCGGCCAAAGCCATTTGAAGTAGTATAGACTCTGCAACAACATTCATTAAAGGCTTGAGTTTGTATATATTGTAATTAATATACGGTGATGCTGTAGAGCATGGAGCCGCCTCCCCCCGCACCAGTGCACCAGTCCCCGCGGCCACCCGCTCCCGCCGGTTACCCTCACTACTCGCACCAACACTCACACTCGCAACCGGCTCACCGACCCGGGCCGCATCCCCATAATAACTATCAACAGGTAAGTTTAAGAGATCAGGGCTGGTCTTTATCTCGTGCTTGTTTCTTGTGTCTACTGGGAACGTGCACTGTACCTTTTAAAATCATCTGCATATTACATTTGTTGTCCTTGATATAATAGTCATGCGAATAAAAAATAAATTAAAATTTATTTGACAAAACATGTTTACAATTTCGAATTTACCGCGGTCCTCACACTAGGCAAGCCCGAATCGTGATGTCCCAGATATACGATTTACATACATTACGTATTAGCCTCTAAAAGGAAAATAAATCGACATAAAATAAATATGATAAATAGGTATACATATAATTTAAAAATATGAACAATATTTTCTGCAATCTTATAAATGAATAAAATGAAATTAAATGCTGCTTCAACATATAATTAATCAAATTTTCAACAAAATCATAAGGGAGACACCACATTTATCGACACGGAAACGCATTATGCCGACCAGAAAAAGCTTTAACATGTATTAAGATAGAAGAAGACAAGAAATAATAACGCAACGTCTCTTTCGCTCTTATTGCATGGACATAGACCATTCTTTGGCCGACTCCCTAAGTTGATGATGATGACAAAGCCTGTCATAACCCTTTCGAATACCAAAATTTCTGTACCACTGCTATTGTCCTTGCATATCTGGAAAGAATTTCAAATGATTGTTTATGCTCCATCATTGAACAGTGTTTGAAAGAACATGGACAAGTGGTTATTGTCAGACATCGAAATAAACACTCTTGGGGTGGATAATATTATTATCCACATTATCCATAATATAATTTAGTAATAGGTAGATCTTCTTGTGAATGAGTTCGTCCAGGGAAGTACTGCCACCTTACCTATTTCTGCCGCCGAGCGGTAATGTTAGCATTACTGCGTTCCGGTTTTGAAGGGTAAGGGTGCTGATGAAATTACAGACATTTAGGACTTGTCAACTTATGTCTCCAGGTGATGGGTGCAGCGGCAGTGCCCCTCAGATCTTTGTGATTTAAAGCTCTGAGTGGCACTGCAACTGTTATGGACAGGCGCGTAGCTTACCATCAGGCGCACGACTTGTTCGTCCCGTCACTTGATATTATATAAAAAAAATCTTCCTCTGGAATCTCGGAATTGTTTATATTGCATTTTTTTTATAATTAGCTGCTTACGGTAGTGTGCAATTGTAAGTAAACATAGTTATAATTATTTTGTTTAATTTTTTTAGGTCTTATCCATTTAATATATATTCCTTCAAGTTTAACGCTACCTTTTCCGTTTTCTGATTAGTCAAAGTTTGTGAATGTCAAGTAAAAGACAGTAATGTAGTATACGTAATATTTAATGATAACGCACGCTGACCTGAAAATCTAAATCTGTGTAATCTAATAGACCGCAAACAATATAGACATAAATATAAACCGGTATTTTGACATGTTTATTATTCCTTTGCAGCAAAACATGTACGGTGGTCAGATGCCGCCTCAGTCGCCGCCATATTCTGGTCCGCCATCGCATCATCGCGCGATCAATCTGCCACATAACCCTCATCTCATCGGTAAGACTATATTCCTACGGAGTCACCTTTTGTATTATCATGTTTTTCCTTTTGACTTCTCTTATTTCCGCCAAATAATAAGCTTAGCCATCAAAAGAGGCAATGTTGCCAGCTTTCTGAGCACGATGCTCTTGATGAATGTTAAGTAGAAGGGTTTAAGGTAGATAATTTCTTTTTTATGTTCGTTTTTCTTTTTTATATTTTGTTTACTAAATATGAGTCCTGAGTTGTTATAGCCCACTTTAGGAGTGCATATAGTTAACTCGCCTTATCATTATGATGAAAGACATGATTGGTCAGTCACGATTGGTCAGATTGGATAGATTGGTCAGACATGGTTGGTCGGTTAGTATAAAGCTAAATTTCTAAAATTTCTAAAAAAATGAAACTATTTTTCCGGATTTAAATCGCGTATATTTGTTTTTTCAAACAAACCGACGTTTCGGGCCCTTTACAGGTCCCATGGTCACGGTTGACT